GGCCGTGTCCAGTGGCAGTTTGTCGCATAATATGTTAATCAGCGCTCCCTGACATGTCAGTCCAACATTTTGCTGTGCTTGAGGACCATTTAAATTGCGGGTGGCTTAACAATTGGCCAACAACAATGCGATACGTTATGGGTGGTAATTGTATAGCTCTGATTGCTCATACCGAAGGAAGGGTATCGAGTAGAGAACAGTTGAGAGAGAGAGAGAGACAGAGAGAGACAGAGAGAGAGAGAGAGAGTATAAACAAGACATTCATTTATGTAAAATCTTTATATATTTTTATTTATATACATAAAAGCTTACAAATATTCTTTGTTATTTTAAAGATATATGTATAGACATACAACGAGCTATACCTATACAAATGATAACTTCGTGGCTTCACATCTGGCATTCCTTTTGGTATAGCTCAACATTCCGGCCAGAGCTGCTCCCTTTCGTAATTGCTGTTAAATAATAATACGAAAATATTTATACGCAATCTGTCCAGTTACAGTTACATTGCACTTTTGCATGCTCATATTTTACTTGCCTTGCACCGCTTTCAAGGTGGGCGGGGAGGTGTTTTCTTCTGTTGCCTCTTTTCTTTTTTGGGCAATAAATTGGCATTTAAATTAATACAATTTGAATTATGTGGCCTGTAACGGGCCAATTGGAGGCCAAAGGCAAAATAGCGTTAATTTTCAATCAAAATCGCGCATCCGCGAAATTATCATGAACTCAGCACAACAAAAGTCGAATGTGTGTGTGTGTGTGTGCCCTGGGAGATTATCAAATTGATTCCAATTAACACTTGCCACTGCATCAAAGCTGCAGTTCGAGCCAGGTATGCAAACCTTATAAATATTTCACGTTTTTACGGTTAACAGAGCCACAACAAGATCGAGCCAAGAGCAGCGCGCTTCATTGTCCACTCTCCCCAGTCGAGGGGAAATCAAGTTTATGCCGGCAAGCCCTTTTCTTTTCATTTTACAGCAATCCTCGTGCACATAAGTTAAGCGCACTTTGTCGTTATTCGTAATTCGAATTGACAAACGTTCGTGTGGCAGCGGCTCAGCCTCGCCTTGCCCCGCTTTGCCGCCCTGCCCCGTCCGGCAGCACAGGCAACAGCTCCTTTCAATCCTCTGGCCAGCGCCTCGTGTGAAATGATAAATATTCCATAATTTCGCTTGGCATTCAATTTCGATTTGTGTGACACATAAATTACGAATTAACGCTTTAAGCTCAACGCCAACCAGTTGAGTGCAGCCGGGTTACAGTCCAGCCAGGGGCTACCCTAGTGGGTCACGGGTGGGCAAGCAGCAACAACAACAGCAACAGTAACAACAACGTCGCATTGTGCGGCATTTTTCGATCAATTTGGTAGTTGCGCTTGTGTCCGGACTTATAAATCAGCCAAATACCCTTCCCGACCATGCCCACCGCTGTGGCAATTGGACTTGTGTGGTAGCCCACCTCGGTGTTAGCCTGAACATTTTTCTATTAGCTTGGCTCGTGGGACTGTCAGCTAACTAATGTAAATCATGTATTATTAGGTACATGGCCGAAGGGGAACTTAAGAGGGCTCAGCTATGCTTAGAGAGAGACCATGCCAGATGACTTCCGATCTTGTAATGAAAGTGAACAAATGATAAAATGAACTCGCTCTTATAATAGAAGTTAAGCCAAGGAGTTTAGTTCACTATTCAGTCAACAAATGCCAAGAAATTGCGATAATATTTGGTTTTTATTTGTAATTAATATATAGCATATCTCGGCTAACTTTCAATTAACCTCTGCTCTCCCCACTTATATACGTATATACAGGGCTAATTAGCTGTAGACCATTCTTATCTTTGGGAATCATCTAAAAAACTTAATTAACTTGCTCGTCCTATGTAAATCGTGTAATTTATGAACCCAAATGCTTGAGAAGCAAGTTGAAATCTTATTACTAAGAATAAAGAGCGCCCAAGTAAAGACAAAATCATTTTCACAGAAAAGGATATCCTGGCGAACTTTCTTAAGACGCAAAAAGAAGTTCAAAAGTAGCGTTTGGGGCATGGGGCATGGGGCGTAGGACTTGGGGCATGGAGCATACCAGCAATGAGGCATACGAAAAGTGAAAGATACGCACAAAAGATGATTAATAATCTCTAAGCCACACGCTGTGCATAGAGTCCTGCTCCACCTCTCCTCCCCCCCTTACCATTGTGTGAGGAGAGAAAAACACGCGGAAAATCTGCAGTTTCCCTTTTCGGAGTCGGCGCCAAGACAAATGTCCTTGCTGCGTGGCCGCTTTAACAGTTCATTTAAACGGATGCAGCTCCTGTCTGCGCCCGGCTTCTCCATTTTCCAGTTCCCCCCACAGCCGCAACTCCACCTCAGCCCCACCAAAAATGCTGATTTTGTCAACTGTTTGCCGCTGATAAAATTATTAGCTTCGCTCTTTGTTTCACAGCTCGCCCCAGCCAGTTCCAAAAGGAACACCAAATATTTTACAAAAAAGAAAAAAAAATTGTTTCGACGCATTTTTGTATTAAAATGCAAATTTTTGGTTAATTTTGTTGTTTCTGTTTTAATCAGCGGCCAAACAGGGCGAATAGCCCCCGTTTCCCTTTGCAAGGGCAGCCGCGGCTGAAAAGCTCATCCATTTACCAGCCGGAACACGTCCTGTCTAGTGGTTGCACTTGGCTGATGATGAATAACCTCGGCCTATGTTTCGCCCCGCCCACAGCAGCCCCTGGCCAGGGCGAAAGCTTACCAGATTCAAGATTTGTTGCATAGCCTGCAGCCGAATTTTTTTCATTTTCAGCTCTTAATTATAGCTGCTGATTGTTTTCTTCTTGTTTTTAATTAGCCAGCCTAACGAACTTGTTTTATAATTAAAAAAAAAATTATTTTTGTATATATAAATTTATTGATATTTTTTATATACTTTTAAAGTATGAAAAAATAATTGGAATAATATATATAAATATTTTTTGCAGACCTAATTACCCTAGATTTTCCTCTTAATATTCCAATTGTGTGTCTTCTATATGTTGCTTACATCTAGGCATATTTATGTATATACATATATTAACATTAGATGTATATAAGTCTATATATCAGATAACATAATGTCTCATCAGCTGGCGATTTGTTGCTGTCGCACTGTTTGCTCTAATTTCGGTTGCCTGGCAAAGGGAGAGGTAATCTATATGTATGAGTTTATCTGGGATCTGGGCAGGCACTCGAGCCAATGCGACATTGTAGGAAACTCTAGTCTCACATAAAAGACATAAACAATTAAACTCATTTGACGATTAATTACGCGACGCGGCTAAATCGCGTGCCGCCGTCGACGCCAGCAAAATGTGTGCTATCACAACAACCAGCAGCAACAGCAACAGCAGCAACAGCAACAACAACAACAACAGCTACAACAGCAATGGGTTACTCTGGCTGTGGCAAAGTACAAATTCATTTGCTGCTAAAGACACTGAAGGCCCGATCGGAACTTGCATGTCGTGTCATAATCTAGATGAATGTATAATTGCATGGCCCGACATGCGGCCAGCACCCAGGCGAACCAGCCAGCAGTCGGAATACCCTAGCTTTTTGCTGCTACGAGCTGCTCATCAACTGAGCTTACATAAATGTCAACCAGCATAAGTGAGAGCCGAGCAGCTCGGCCGCACTTGCGCCTTGTCTATTTTCAAAATATTTTCATATACTTTAATAGAGAACATTCCTAGCTGCCTCTGAGCACATGCAATTAATGAATAATTACTTAGGAGCCACCCTCGAGCAACCGATTCGAGAATCCGATGCGGCGCATCATCAATGGGTATTCTCACATAGCTGACCTAAATTATTCAATTCATTTTTATTTATTTTTAATTTTTTGATTTCTTGCAATAATTGTGCTGTCTCTGTCTCTCTCTGACTGTATCTCTTTCTGTCTCTATCGCTTTCTTAGTTCATTTCGGTCATGTTAAAGGGGTCTCTCATTGTTTGTATAACTATTTATTCTAATTTGACCCGCTTATTGCTGGCCGAGTAACATTCTCACATTTGGGGTCGCCCGTTGCTACGATTATGAAATGCCATTTGAGAGATATGAGGGAGCCGATCGACGACATGAGCTGCTGCGGCTGCTGCTCGTTTACCCCGTTTCTTAATTGCTCTAACAATGTCGCCCGATGCTCGATGCTTAAATGATGAATCACTTTTTCATTAAAATTTGACTTTGAGCGTGACCCTCATGTTGTTCGCGCTGACTTCTAGGCGGCTAATGTGAGTAAATAACTCTTGAGTGTTTGCTTTAATAAAAGAAATGGAAGCAGAAAGAGTGAGAGGGAGAGAGAGAGAGAGAGAGAGAGAGAGAGGGGATATATATACATTTATCGGAAGTAAAACTCTGATGTGGAGGAAGCCTAATGAAATATCATACGAATACAGAATCTGGATTCGAATTCTTACTTTCCATTTACAACTATAATTATATATATTTTTGATAGCCTTAAGGAATATACAAGCAATGCTTATGCTTTAAAATTTTCTATATATAATAAGGAAATTTTTCATATTAATATTAATAAGACTTAAATGCTCAATCATGCATAATGATTAAAGCACTGCAACAGGGTAGTACATATTCAGCTTATATCTAATACATAATATATCTACTAAATGTGATTGAAATATCTAAATGTCTTATCAAGCTTTTTACAATCTCATTCGCCAATTGATGATAATTCAATACTCGTTCAAACAAATCTTGTATCTATGTGAAACAGTTAGAGTCAAGCAGCTACGCTTGTCAACAAATTCGTGCTGACAATGCGCCCAAGCAAATGATAGCCGAAACTAAGAAGAAAATTAGAGCATTTGCCAAACAGCTGCAGCAAAGCTCAAGAGGCGATAGCAAACCCAGCTTGATTTAACAAAATGTGGTAAATGGTATTTAAGCGCTGTCGAAGCTGCATTTGAGTTCAGCGTTCAGTTTGTAGAGCAACTGCATAGAGATGAAACTCATTTTAATAGGTGCGCTGCTGGGCTGTATAATTTCAACAAGTGCACAGGATACAACCGCACAACCTTCTCAGGCGTCGACAGCTGCACAGGATGTGAACATGAATGAGAATGTGTCCTTATCTTCACAGGGTGCGACGTCAGTGAAAAGCACCGCAAATTCCACAGCATCGCAAGGAATTTCGGCTGAGAATCAGCTACTTCATCTATTGACAGACCACAGAGCTCAGATGCACTCGTCTAACGCTTTCCTGAATGAAATTGGGAATGCTATCAACCTATTGGCCGTCAATGTGCAAGAGCAAATCCATAGGCTGCCACAGCTGAATCAAACGAAGCAACAGCTGGCCAAGGCTAGCGAATTGGCCCAAAATCAAACGCAACAAGTTCTGCAGAAGCTCCACAAAATGACTCAAGAAGTGCTCACTAAGATGGATCGAACTTCCCACAGCATTGAGTATGTGATACAGGAACAAGAAGTCGTCAAGGAGCAGATCAATAGCTTGCAAAGAGAGCTCAACTCGCACCAACAGCATCTGCTCAATAGCACTGAGAATATTGACAAAAATCTCCTGCAGCTAACCGAGCTTGTCTCTAGCGCCGTGCTGCCCCGTATACAGAGTCTGAATCACTCCTTCAGCAGTCTGAATCACTCGCAATCGAATATTCAGCTGGAGCTGAAGAACATGGCTCAGATCAAGGAGGCTACCACGGCAGCTGCAGGCCAGCTCAATGCCTTGGATCTTCAACTATCTTATCTAAATCTCACCCAAAACTCTCAGCTGCACAAAATAGCCGAAGCTGTCAAGTATTTTTGTCCGCAGCAGGTAGCTTTAATAGATAAGGGCTTGCAGGACCTAATTGTCGCTCAACAGCGCTTACATTCAAAGCTGGCCGTTTGTGAGAGACAATCAGCAAAGCCAAAGAGCTATGAAGTGCAGAAGAACCCAGCCAAGCCCCTAGCTAAGTCTTATAAGATTAGCGAGCCAAGCCAAAGGAGCTACAGCACAGCTAATGCAAATCCAAGCCAGCCAGAATATTACGTTTATGGTAAGACATCCCCGTCACAGCCTGGCAAACCCAATCTGGCTTACAGCAATCAAATCAAAGCATCCCAGCCACAGCTGAAGAGCGTTCTGTATGAAAATAGTGCAATGAAAGCAGAGCCGAAATCCAGCGACTTTTACATAAATGACATGCCCTACCCATCCAAGCTCGATAAGGATTCCATGCCTGCAACGCAACAGCCCAATAAAAATGATTTGACATATGATTTGGTTGAGATGCTTGCGAACAAGTCGCAGGATATACTAAAGCCCGATGTTCAGCCGAGCAAATCCGTTGAAATCTACAATGGCAAGCCAAGGCAGCCGCAGCAGATCTACGAATTGGATGAGGGAACTAGTCGAAATCAAGCTGCAGCCCAGAGCAATGCCAAATATATCTTTGATATAGTCAAGGCCCAAGGCGAGCAACCAAATGCGAGCTATAAGACTCCGCAATTCAAGCCCAGGCGAAATGGTGGCACATATTACGGCAATGCATTCACCAGTAGCTATGCACAGGTGCCACAATCCTGAATAATCAACTATGGGGACATTTGGGCTACATTAAATATATAGGTTAATATTGTGAATAGTGTGAAAATAATAAAATAAATATAACAAAATGAAACTTTAATTTAATTTAATAAATAAAAAATTAATATGTAAAAAAAACTTAAAAAATAAAATAAAATAAATAAATAGTATCTATACTGACAGGCATGTAAAAATAAAAACCTTAAAGCTAAAAGGATCCCATTTGCGATTTATTTATTTTCATTGCCAATTTCCAAAGGACATCGGAGCGCTGAGTTCAACAAAAAGCGAAGCGAAATAAACTTAAATCGAATGAACTACAAATTGGCCGGCAACGAGTCGGAGTACAAGCACAAACCGAATTTAAAGTCACAGTCAGAGTCAAATATGCCAGCTATTTGGTGGCTATCAATTTACAGACAAGAGCCGAGCGTGAAGCAGACCAAATGAAACTGATACCAGGCGAATTGAGCGGCCGGCGAGAGCAGAGGGAGGATGGCAGGGAGCGGTATATGGTAGGTGGCAAGTAGACAAAAGTCGCGCGGAACAAGCGCAACATGAATGAACCTTTTAACATACTTGTAGTTACTAATTCCAAGCGACAGGCGACACAGGAACACAACGGACAAAACAAAAACACAAACCCAAAACAAAAGGAAACAAAACGAATTTTTCATTTGTTTTCATTGTTGGGCATTTGTGCAGCGAGACGGGAAAAGTGGAGATGGGGCGGGCAAGGATAAGACAAGCCCGAACAAAGTTGTATCAACAAAGTGACCAAATCACTGGGCAATGGAAACAGCTACCAAAGCAGCAGCAGGAGTAGCAGCAGCAGCAGGAGTAGCAGCAGCAGCAGGAGTAGCAGTTGTTGTTGTTGTTGTTCTGATTTGTTGGCCCAACAGATGCTATGCGAAGGTGTTGCGCACGTCCCGCATATAGCCAATATATGTATATGTATATGTGCTTATATATCGACGAGGCTATTCAGACTCGAGAGTTTTCAGGCACACGACCGTTTTTGGCACAAGCGATGCAATAAATTATCAGCTATACAAGAAGGCCCAGGAGCAGGCCGAGAGAGATGGCAACAGCAAGACAACAAAAGGCACTCGAGCGAAAAGAGATGGCAACAAATGCAATTGACAAAACATAAAAGGCAAACAAAACTCGGGCCCAGAATGACCAGAAGTATGTACGGCCCGAGAGCAAGACAAAAAGGCAGCCACAATAAACACTGGACAACATGCTGCGACCCCGTAGCTATAGCCTGAACCTAAATCTCAACCTGGCAACGCGCTCCACCGCGCCGCCCTGCCACGCCGCTCTTATCGGGCCAGAAGTCACTCGGAAGCAGCCGCACAGCAGTCCAAATGACAACTTTGAGGGCAAAGTCAATGAGCGCCTTCCTGCACCCAGTTGGCCGTCGCCTCGTCTTCGCCACGTCTTTGCCTTCGTCTTCGTCCAGTGGCGGAGACAAAGGAGGATCCCGGCGCGTTCCATATCAAAACATGAATACAACGACAGCTAACAAAACTCTCAACATGCGTTGAAATGTTGAAATGCTAAGAAATATTTCTACAGCCTCGGCGACGACTCGAAACATGCAACGTCTCAAAATCTTGTTGCCCAATAAAAATAAAATAAATATTAAAACTTCCTTTCGAAGGCATTTTTATACTCTATAGTCTGTATAGATCTGATCAAATCTTTGGAGAGGTGAATTGAACTCTTAATAAAAATTGGAAGATTTAAGTTATAAATTTCATTTTGTTCTGTAGTAGAATATCAAGTGAATTAAATTAGCATGTGTATAAAAAATTAACAAAAATAATTTGTTTAGGTTATCATAGCCATAATATTATATTATTTTACTAGAATATCAATTGACATACATATTTATTGTTATTATTATTTTTTTTTTATAGAAAATAATTAATTATAATTATTTATTTTGCTGTTATTCAAAACTTACATACATGGAAGAGTATACAAATGTCTTTATATTGAAGAGAAGTAAATTGAAGAAAAATACACAATAATAAAAAAAATATATAAAAACTATAATATAATAAATTTTAATCATATTACAAACAAAACATTTGTAAATTCCAAATATTGCAAAAAGAAATTTTGTAATTAGAGTTTAAGAAAGCTCAATAAATACAAAAAATAATTACGAAAATAAATAAATAAAATTTGTAACGGCTTAATCAAATTTATGATTTAACACAGACGTGACTACATCTCTCCACTTGTAGGCATACGAAATATATAAAATTTCTCAAAAATCGTAGGGGTATTCCCATATAAAAGATCCATAAAATTAACGAGATTTGAAAGATTCTAGGCAAAGCAGATGGCTCATAAATGAGCTGAGATTTTCGCAGCCATATAAACTCAGCTAAATTTGATTCAAGCTAAAATAATAACAACAAGAGATTGGAGTCTATTGCGCTCTCTCTCTGACTCTCTCCCTCTGTCTCTATTCAACTCTGCCCCTCTCTTAAGGTGCATGTGGCTGCATGCCTCAGAGCTGCATGCTTCAAGCTCCTCTGCTGCTGCTGCTGCTGCTGCATGCTGTGCGCGATTCATGTTTGGTGATTAAAGTAAAGTTCGTAAATTTACAGTTTTCATCAAAGAGGCGACTTTTAGTGGACTGGACTCACCTTTTGGAGTGCAACAACAACAGCGCAGAGTTCAAGCCCAGGTGACTGTGACGTTGACTCTGCGGCGACTCCGACTGTGAGTTGACTCGGGCAACAGCTCAGCACAGCTATGGCTCCACACTCCACACTGCACACTCCACATACACTCGCTCCTTTAGCTTTTCTAAACTGATTTCCAGCAATAAGCATTAGTTGAAAATTGCAATTGTTTTTCTTTTTCTACCACGAGCCCATCTGAAACTGCTAAAGCGGGTTGAATGCTTTTCGAGCACACGTTTGTAACAGAGGAAGGAACTAAATATATATATATTTTTTTATTAATCGAAGTTATGTATTTCATCATATGATTTTGAATATCGAAATAAATGTATTTAAGTATACGGCTTGGGTATTCTTATGGACACATCCTCTAGGATATCTTCTAGTCTGGCACGGCCGACCAAAGGCTAGTTACTTGTTGTTATTGCCTCGACTAGCTGGCTGGCTGTGGCGAAGTGCACTGCGCACCGCGGGGGAGTGCCTAGGCCCAGGCCCAGCTCGAGCACGACTCCACAGCTAGGCATGGGCCCAGGCACTGGCACTGGCTCAAGCTAAGGCTCCAACTCAGACTCAGGCTCGGGCACATCATCAACTTCGACAGCGAGCGCTGCCCCAAAAGAAATCCAATTGTATTTAACGAATTTTTGAGTAACCCGAAAAGCATCGGCGCATCGGCCGGCGATGGCGATGGCGATGCCTGGTCTGGTCTGGTCGGGCCGGGTCTGGCCGCGTCTGGCCTGGTGCGCATTGCCGTGAATCATATGGACACCATTAAATGGGAAAGGCTATGGCTATGGCAATCACCAACACGCGTCAATTGCGCGCTGTGTGAGACCGAGCAGAAATTGAGAAAAAAAGAGCGAACAAAAACAAAAGAAAAAAATAAGAAAAAACAGCAAAATGATGAAGAAAACTGTGTGGAAACTGTGCGAAAGGCAACGGACTAACTTTGATTGCGGCCTGCGCTGAAATCTGGCCGCGTTTTTCACTGGAACTGCGCAACAGATGCTGCAGAGATTTGGACTAGAGCTGGAGTGTGAAACTACCATAGGGTAACTATAGACGCTTGTCATTCGGGGACCTGCAAGCATTAATAAACGCTAATAACAACATTAAGGGTTCAGATATCTGTTTGGGCTAAAACCCAATCAAATCTCACGGTAAGTGCACTAAATCAGCTGCTCAAAGTGCTGGTAATAAATGTAATTTGAATTTCAGACACAGGCGCGCAGCAGCAACTGTTGCCGCCGCTGCTGTTGCGGTGAGTGCCGGCAACATTACTTAATTGCATTGCCAAGGATATCACTGGGCAATCGATCGTCACGGATTATCAACTTGTAATAGAACTCGCTCAGCTCTCGTATCTCAGCGTTAAATTATGCGTTGAAAGGGCTCCGCTGGCCCTCTTTGTTGTTGTTGTTGCTGTTGTTGTGGCTCATTGGACAGGTGTTGATTGCTCTGGTCAGGCTCTGGTGGCCAATTTATTGCCCAGCCGCCGCAACCATTCGGTTCGATTAGAATACGCTTGCAGCATCAGTTGTTGTTGCCGTACATGTTGCTGATGCTGTTGTTGCTGTTGCTGCTGTTGATGTGCATGCACTTGCCGAGCGAACGTGTTGCAAATTATTGCAACTTGTACGTGACTCAAATGACGACAGCAGCCACACGCAAATTTGCTGCGAAATGAGCTTGATGCACAGATTGAAGCCAAGAGTAAAAAGATGCTCAAATGAGCATATTACATTTCCCGAAAATAAAGGAATATGTAATAATAGTGCAGTAAAATAATATTTATATGCATATGAGTAGCAATTTCGATCAAGCCTTGAAGCTCTCTAATATGTGTTTTTCTTTGAGATTCTCTGGTTAATTATGTAAGTATGGAAACACAAATAAAACCAAAAACAAGTCACAATTCAGCTGAATGCGAATATACTTCAAAATATATATATATATATATATATAAATATTTAGTAACAATATATTTTGATCGCATATTTTATTCTTCATATCTAATTTAATTGCATAAATATTTCTATTGATCGATCAGACATTAAATAAATCAAGGTATTAAAGAACTGATTTAGGTCAATCCGATGTTTAAATATTAATACATATTTCGTGTATTTTATAATTTATAAATCAATTTAAAAAAAAATATGTATTTATGTATTTTATTAAAATGTAAGTATTGAATCATAAGATATCTTTATCTAATAAAAATTTAATGTATTATTTAATATTATAGACAAATTCTTATACACATAATATAATTAAATAACTTAAATTAAATAAAAAAATAAATAAATTATGTATTAGCATAATATATGAGGTA